TCTCACGGAGGTGGGACACAATTACAAGAGGGACTTTACCTAAGAAATGCAATCAGTGTAACCTAAGTCTTTGTACTTTCAATGAATCCCAAACAATTAAGAAACGAACAAACAACCTCATAAAAGAGGCCTACTCTGAAAACTCTGTTTATTTTGCATAAGTTCATGAGTAAAACAAACTACATAGCTAAATGGAATTTGGGGTACCTACCTATAAAACACATAATTTGAAAGTAGTTAAATTGAGCTTCATCTTAAATGCCAAAAGGATTTCTTTTCTATGGCCCATGACCTGAATGTTTTGTCTAGTAACCAGCAAGTGTTTTGCTGTACATTAAAGACCATAGGTTCTAATCCCTATGGCTGTAAATTGTTAAACATATGGCATCAAAATACAGATTCTAAACAGAACTGATTAAACTGGGATTCCATAGATTAAAAAAAAAATAGCACAATGCGTTCTAGACTAGTAGTTAATTTATTAATCCTGACCAGTATCACTCACTTATCTCATCTTTGATAAGTAAGTCTCCCCATGGTCCATGAAGAAGTTAAGTTCCTGAAAGGGAAACATAACAAAACAAAACAGTCTTTCTCAGGTTTCTCTCTCTGAACAGCCTCAGATAATAATAATAATTAACCTATTTGAAGATCTGGCACGAATTTGAAAAGGGTTTAGTATTACACAGGACAGTTTCTAAAATTGTAGTTTCCTTCCTGACTGTTACTAAATACAAGCCAAGAGAAGATTTCAGTTTTTGTAGTAGCCAAAGGATCCCGTAATTTTTAAGATGCTTCCCCTAGCAGCGGTTCTGAACCTGTGGGTCGCGACCCCTTTTTAACAATGAAAATACACTGTGGCATTAGGAAGGTTGAAAACCACTGCTAGGGCTTTTGTATCTTTGAAAACCATGACCTCACCTTGGCTGTCGCCCTCTGTGGTCTCATTTCCTACCGTCCTTCCCTTACCCACTGGCCGCAGACACACTGACACTGACCACCCTTCCCGTGTGTTCTGGGAAAGTAATGCTCGCCTTCTGCTTCAGTGCTCTGTCCAGATCCGGCTTCCCTAACAGTTTAGCTGGAAAGCTTTTCCTCAGGGAAGGTTTTTCTGACAACACTTCAGAGACATTTGATTTCATTTTCCTCCTAACAGTCCTCCTCATCTTCGGAAATGAGCTAAATTGTTCGGGTACTTCTTTATGATCTACTCCCTCCTCCCATGAACTCACACCCATTAAACAGAAAGAAACTTGCAGAGAGTGTATGGATTCATCCCAGATGGAAACAGATGGAGCTCGTGGGACAGTATGAGATGAGTTTAATAAAAGGACCACTTCCTAAGGTGCAGACACACTCTAGGGGAGCATTGGGGAAGAGCTAACGGGAGTGCAGTTGCCACACTGGGACTGAATGAATGAGGGGGTCTGGGGACTCACACTCTGTCTGGGGAAGGATCCTGGCAACAGATAGTGTGGGATCTGGGGGACCCCGGGAACAAAAACCCAAGCTCAATCTCTTAATACCTACCAGTCTCTCACCACTTGGACTAAGCTAACCAGAAGCTGAAGAACAAAGTCCAGAAAAGTGTGTAAAGTGAGTCTGGAGGTTCAAACGGAATATACCCTCAGTCCTAGTAATGGTGCCTGGCTAGAACACATCTTTTGATACAAGTACTGACTGAGTCTGTTGTCTCCTGTCTTAGTTTTGCAATTATCCTTCATTTAAAAAATATCTTGTGTAAAACCATGCCTTGGATTAGCATGTATAATTTTTTAAGACGTTTCCTATATAATATTGATAGTATTTCATGATTTTCATCTCAAAATGCTGTCTTCAAAGTATTTCACTTACTTTTGCAAAATAAACTGCCACTCACCAAGACTTAGGGACTTGCGGACAACAGGAAAGTGATTGCAGAGGGACACTGTAACCCTGAGTGTCCTTTGATACATCATTTTAAAATTATAACTCTCTCAACCATATTTGTCTATTCATATTAAGAGAAAAAATTAGTTGACCGAGTATTTTTCTCATTCTTGCTTTTACTCTAATTATAATGATTATATAGGTTGAAAAGTTAATTGGTAGATGATTCCAGAGTCATAGAAGGATTCAATATTTCTACCATTTATTCAATAATTAGGATTTATTTCAGAATTACATGGAATCAATTAAAATTGGTGGAATCATTTAAAATTGGTGGCATCACTGTTGTAAAATGTTTATGATGTTCTATAAAACTCATGGGTTCATTTTTTTTCTTTGAAAGCTTTGGCTAGTATTCCCCAAGGCAGTCACTAGATCTTTACATAAAAATATTGAGGGATAAGTAAAGATGTATACTTAAACCTAAACCTAAGATCTGAAATAGTAAAACATAGTGTTTCTGTTTCAGTCTGTCTGTGCAGCCAGCACAAAATTAGAATGGATAATTTATAAACTACAGAAATGGGCTTTTTGCGGTTCTGGAGGCTGAGAGGTCCAAGATCAAGACATTGGTTGGCAGGAGTCTCCTGGTGTCCTGTTCCATCCACGGCAACTCCATAAAGTGGCGTCTTCACAGGGTAGAAGGCAGAAGGGCAAAAAAGCCCAGATTGTTTTTCTCCATCCCTTTTATAAGGCATTAATCAATTCAAAAGGTTGACCATTCATGACTTAATCACTTCCCCCAGGCCCCACCTCTCAACAGAACCAAAATGGGTATCATGTTTCTATGGGAATTTTGGTAAGACATGATCATACAAACACTGACTTTTTTTTTTTTTTTTTTTTTTGCTGTTTACCTTCTTCTGTGGAAGTGCATTAGCCTAGTCTTTTCAAAGTTCCTCCTCTCTCAAGACCATGCAACCCACTTTTTATTGTTAAATGTTAAAAGGGAGTTAATAAACAATGAGTAACCATAAAAAGAGTAACTTCCTAAAAAGGAGATTTTTCTTCCCAGGTTTTTCCAATCTATTAGTGTTAAAGATTCTCTTGTCCTGTGGGTTTATTTCCTAATTAATATGGGTACCTAATACTAGTACATCTTTATAAAGTACATGTTATGTTTTGACACATGCATACAGTGTAAATGAATCAAATTGGATTAGTAAAAATGTATAGATATTCTATTTTATTTCTCTGGAACAGTGGTTTTTAAATGGAAGAGGTGTCAGGGAGGGAGAGCTATATCATAGTCATTGGGAGAGATTGCCTTTCCAATAGTAAATTGATAGTAGTAAATTCCAATATACTACTCTTCAATTAGGCAAGTTACCCATCAGACACAGGATGGAGCATCAGGGCCAGCAGTGCAATGGAGGAGCTAGTGTCCTGACAATTTAAAAAAATCATCAGACAAACTCCTCTAAAATAACTTTGACAATACTTATTTATTTTCTTTCTCAATTGTATCTTAATGTTTTAATCCAACTAGCTTCTAGAAGATAACTATTTATATAGTTTAGCAGATAACCAGAAAGAATCTCAATCTCTACCTCTGTCTCCTCTCTCTTCATGAAAAAGAGAGAAAGGAGAGTTAGACACACACAGATAGAATTTTCATCTTGGAAATTTTCATACCTCAAATTAATTACATAAAGAAAATATATATGTAATTTTCATATTAAAAGTAAATTGATTTAAGATAGATCTTGGTTAACAACAGAAAACACAACATCCAAATAAATCACATCCTGGTATTTACCTAGAGAACGTAAGCATTATAAGTCAGGAAGTCACAAAACTTAAGGTGTGTAGGACCAGAATACTGAGATGTAAAGATAAAAGAATCTTAGTTAAGAGACTTGGAACTGTAGTATCAGGAGGGTAAGAGAGGACAAACAGATTGAACCACAAAGGTGTCAATATCAATTCATCAATAAAGCAGCAGCAGTAAAAATGAAGATAGTCTTTTTTGCAACAGTCTCCTGTCCAGAATCAGAAGAAATCTTAGATTGTAGTTAAGTCTGAATTAGCAAGAAGAAAGCACTTTGGTATGTAAACAGTAGGAAGTGCATATAAAAAGAGGGATGTATATTGGGTTTATGATTTAGATGTTTTATGTTTTTATTCATGGTAGATATTATCTTTGTTATTCATGTACACTACCTTATTTAAGAAACCATACTATCAAAGCCACATGTGTTTAAGTTAAAACTCTCTCTAAAAGTGTTGGCTATAGATTCAAATTTAGTATAAAATTTATTTATGATTTCACTTGAAAGAATCGGAAGGATATAGTTATTTCACTATGAATAAATATAAATGTAAATTAGTTCTACACTTGGACAAAAGGATAAAAAGTGAGTATTATGTGTAAATATGCATTCATATTGTAACATTCAGGATTGAAGGTCTCATTATATATAGATTCATTCAATCATAGTTAATTGGTGAACATATACTTACGGAGTTTCTTTTAAATATCAGGCGCTGTCCTTGGTGCTAAAGAAACATGGTGAAATTCTGGTGCTCAAATAATTAAGGGGAATCCTGAAAGATGAAATATACAAGGAAGGTGGTTTATGCATTGTGAGAAAATAAAGTAATATGGTATCCCAAAATAAAGATAATAGGAACTTAGAAAATAGTAATTGTTAAAAATTGCACTCTCAGTTTAACCATGAAAAATTTTTGGTATATGTGTGTGTGTGTATGTGTGTGTGTATCAGTTTTTTATAAACAATTTTCTAAAGATAGGATCAAATATATAAATCCTGTTTAATTGGCTGACTTTAAAGAAGATGAGCATCCATCAAAGCTGATCATTGTTTTTTAACCATAATTTTCACTGTTGCATAACATTTTATGATGTGACTATTACCATAATATACTAAATTATGTCCTAATCATCAGACATTTGGGTGTTTCACCTTTTTAAAAGACACATAATTGTAGCTAGCATGTCTTTGCTAGTAAATCTACCTGAAATCATGTTGTTCTATTTGTATGCTATTTTATTTAGGAAAATGCTGTGTTTGTAATATTAATTTTATATTATTATCTTTCCCCTTAAGGTGTCATTAGAACAGCTTTGCCAAACATGGACAGAGAAGTCAAGGAACAATACCAAGTGCTCATCCAGGCCAAGGACATGGGAGGACAGCTGGGAGGGTTAGCTGGAACCACAACAGTCAACATCACCCTCACTGACGTCAATGACAATCCCCCCAGATTCCCCAAAAGTATGTCATCTTTTCTGTTAAGTCTAAATTAGTGTCACCTTTAATTTATTCTTTATAATGTCATTCAATACTATAGGAGTTGAAATAATTTTCCAGAAACTTCTGGTCTGTAGGAAGCAGAAGGTAATAATTTATAGATTGCATGTATTCAGAACTTAAATTTTTGATGAGAATCATGTCCAGTGTTATTTGAACAGAAAATAGTGAGTCAATAGTTGAACAATTGGTTTTATGCTATCAATTTTGGTGAAGCAACATATAACCCTAACATCTTATTAAGTGAAAAAGTAACATAAGCATGCAAAATTCTGATGTAACGTAAGACCTCATAGTTATTACACATATACTAGGAAATTACAAATGATATAATTAGTACTAGAACTCTTTGCTTTTTCTTTGGCAATTACATGTGTTGAGCCATTTTCAAATATTTTCATCTAAGTATCAGAGGATATTGATAATATTTGCATGACTGTACTTCCAACCAGCTATTTCATTTTAGTTTTGTAATAGGTGAAAATTGCTATAGTTCCTGTGACAATAGAATGATTCACACCTGTATCTTCTCTGTAACTGTGTGTTTCTTACTGAAAATAAGTTCTTCTCACTTACGGTGCACCTGGTTTCCTTTTACAGAATAACATTAACACCAATCAGTATCTATTTGATTCCTGGTGCACTTTCAAGGATTACTTCAGTGTCCCTACAGCTTCCAGGGCAGAAGCTAAATGTTTCTATTATCGGTTTTATAAGAATTTTAATCAAACTATTGATTACTCATTTGCATGAATAGTTTAAAAAGACAAAACAAAACAATTTTCTTCTGTCCACATCAGAAGGGGCGTATCTGAGTTTATCTAGTAAAATATATTACACTGAGAATATTTAAATAAATGGGCATCAGATTCTTTAGTTTAAATGCTTCTTTTTTCATATTATACTGCTTTGCCCCTTTTTTCCTTTAAAGTCATCAACCTAGATTTTCTTTCTAAATATTTTACTTAGTGATCTGAATACCTAGTGGCCCAATGCTATAAAGGTGGTTATTAGAAATCATCTTACCTTAGCTTAGTTTTATGGTTTACATTTCTTATGTCATGTTGTACATGATAAAGATATACAATTTCAGTTTGTAAATTCAAATAATTAAAGAGAAAATAAGTAGTATTTTAGCATATGAATATGTGTGACAAATGGTTATTATGTAATATGTTATGATCATACAGTTATAATATGATCATATCATATAGAGAGTTGTAGAGCAGTACTTTTCCTTACTTTGCTATTAAGGGAAACACAAAGCATATAAACATTTGTTTCTCTAGCATACCATATTATTAAAGGATATGTTGCTAACTTTAAAAGCACTAAATTTTAATTTTTAAAACTGCATATGTGTGGTAACTTATAATAGTTAATGGAAAAGGGTAGATTGGGAGATTACTTTGCTTGTGTATAAAAGTAATTATACTATTATAAACTTGGGCCCTGCTTTGGGTTTTGTACATATAAATTACTTTCAATCTAGGCTATGGGAGATAGCAAATATATTTTAGGTAATGACAATATCCTTATTCACAAGCGTGGCAGTGAGGACTTTCAGATCTGGGGTATACAAATATAGCCAGTAGAAGAATATATCCTTGGGGTTATGAGTGAAAGCTGATTTATAAAAATTAAGGTAGTGACCCTAACAAATAGGCTGGGGCACAGGGGTAAAGAGAACCTGGATAAATTAGTAGTCTTGTTTGGTATTTACTCAAGGTTGAACCCCCAGGCATCAAAGGATGACCGGGTGAGATCCATTTGCAGTGGATAAAAGGCATTGGATCTTAGGCAGTACCTGTGGCTCAGTCAGTAGGGTGCTGGCCCCATATATCGAGGGTGGTGAGTTCAAACCCGGCCCTGGCCAAACTGCAACATAAAAATAGCCAGGCGTTGTGGCAGGCACCTATAGTCCCAGCTACTCGGGAGGCTGAGGCAAGAGAATAGCCTAAGCCCAATAGCTGGAGGTTGCTGTGATGCCATGATACTCTACCATGGGTTATAAAGTCAGACTTTGTCTCAAAAAAAAAAAAGAAAAAGAAAAAAGGCATTGGATCTTTTAAAGCATTTTGTTTCTTCACACAGCAAAACTCTGAGATCATTATTTTCCACATTTTACCACTAAGATAACTGAGGCTTATAGAGAATAAAATAACTTGTACAAGATCAGCAATATTAAGTGCCATTTTTTTAATTCTCAAGTTTAAATTCTGTCTAATTTATTATCACATTAAAATAAAAAAGTTATGACCTTCCTTTGACTGACAATCTAAAACCTTAGAATGCACCTGCAAAAAAAAAAATCACAGTTTCTATTAAATTGCCACCACCCATAAACAGAGAAATGAGAGGGCAGAAAAAATTGATCAAGTAGATCATGGTGATCAAATTATTTTCTGGTTGTATTGCTTGAACATTTAGACTATAATATGAAACTATTCTAGGTAGAAGATATTTTTAAATCATAAGAAAAAATACTTTTTCACATTTTGAATCAATAAAAAATTAATCCCCTTGAAGTTTTGCGTGTCGTTGAGTCAAGACCTTTTTGCTATACTGTCATTTTGAATTATATCGTTTAGAGGAAAAGACAGAGCACATTTATAAACAGAAAAGCTATCTCTTCAGAAGCCAATGTTCTTTTTCCCAGACTATTTCCCCTAGAGAGCAATTAAACAGCAAATGTGATATAAAATTACAAGCTGAAAGGATATCCTTTTGAATACAGAAGTCAAGAAAACACGCATTTTCTATATAAATAACTTAGAAGAGAATTCTTCACAACTGGCAGTATTTGTTCATGCCTATTAAGCAATTATTATGCTAAAGAAACGTTCATCAGATGAACTCCATGAGATTTATTTTCCATAGCTTAACACAAAATGATTTCTTAAAATTTACTAATTATAATGTTTGGCTTTGACATTGTTAAGACCCATTTCCATCCATACTCTTATATAAATTTGACATGGAAAAAAATTGAGTAGCATATGCATTTGCATTATTCATGCATACATAGTTTGTTATTTTATTGTTGTTGTAAAATATATAGTTTCTGAGGTATTGGAACTCCCCTCCAATTTGATATGATATTGGAACTCCCCTCCAATTTGATATGATATTGGAATTCCCCTCCAATTTGATATGATATTGGAATTCCCCTCCAATTTGATATGATGATGGTGACCATGATATTGACTAACAAATGACCCTGTGTCATGACTATGCAAAGAGATTTGCATTTGTGTTCTCACTTAAATCTTTTAACAGTGGGGTAGTATTTTTACAATTTTAGAATTTGAAGAAATAGTCCATTATAAAGAAAGATTAAGTAACTTGTCCAAGTTTGGGTAAATTTTTGTCACTCTTTCTCTTATTATGATACTATGATACCTTTGATGCCTCTGTCTTCACAAATACCCAAGAAAACTCTTCACAACAGACGATCCAGTAAACTGTCCACTAATGAAATTAGTAATACTGCTTCTGAAATGGAAAGAATAGAATACCTCTAAATGAACTCATACAAAGGCAAACTATTTTCTTTGCCAAATGTTTTCTATAGAATTATATAGCTTTTACCTACAACAATGAAGGATATCTCTGTAAATGATCTCCATCTGTTAAAATAAGCAACAGGAAAAGGTTGATGGTTTCCATTTCGTGAATTTTAAATGACAAAACCGCCTAACAAGGTGATCTAAATTATACATTATAAGATCAAATCAATTAAGTGATGTGGTTAATTCACATTTGGCAAAACATTTACACTTTGGCCACTTTGGCACTTACTTCTGCATAATAATTTTGTTTCTTTTTGTCCAATTAATAGAAGAATGCAGATGATTAGATAATAATATAACAATTTTGTAAAGAATACGAGAGCAAATGAACATAAGACATATACAACATAGGCTAAAAAGAGAGTTTTCATGTATAGCAAGTGGAAAGGAGTGCTTGTTCCTTTTTCTATTTCAATATATGGTGAGATATGAGGACTGTTTGCATGGTAAATAGATTTAAATGTAGAAAATAGGACACCAATCATTGTTTGAAGAAAAATTCTTACTTCAAATTACATTGAACAACACTTCAAAGTAATTATTTGGTTAGATCAAGTATCTACCAAAATACTTATGGCTATCTCTAGCTAGGTATTTTGATTCAGTTACAAATCAAAAATATACACAATAATTACAGCATAAAACATAGTTGTTATGTATTAACTTGTTGACACTTGAAAATAAGAAATTGTCATTATCTTGAAATTAACATTAATAAACTTAATAAAATTAAAGGATTAATAGCATCAACGAAAATGCCTATTGAACAATGAATAGTATTTGATCCTGTTTATATAAACTGTCAGATAAAAAGCTATATCTCTATATAAGCATCTATACGTTTTTAATTCTATTTAATTTTCATAATATATGAAGACTACAGGATGACCAGGTTAATAATTGAATTATTAATGAAGACTGCAGGATGAGCAGGTTAATGATTTAATTATTAATGAAAAAAGTTGATTACTATAAATTTATTCAGTAAAAAGTATTGATGTGTTTACGTAAAATGTTTTGTCTTTTCATCGTATCCAGTCATCAGTTCTCAGCATCCAGGTTTAGTCTAGTTCTTTTTTTCATCTTGAAATCTATCCTATGTTGTTTTCTTAAGGAAATATTCATTATAATATGTATGTATAAAATTTTTTCTTAGAATTAACATGAACACAGTGCACTTAGATAGGACCACAAAACCTATTCTTGTATGTTTACCTTTGGCATCTTTATACTTTGAAAATGGTTAAATTCTGGACTTAAATTTTCTTGATAAAAAATTACAGTAAGTCACTCTGAAGGAACAGATAATGAAATGCTAATTTTGAATTTTGACAGTTGCTTTGGTTCAGCCAAAAATAATATTCCACTGTGCTCTGATAGCTTTCTGATGTT